GATCCTGCAGTGAGATAAGGAAATGAAATTTTGTGAATTTATTTATGATTTGGGACTACGAGGCGGTACCTCGTGAGTGCCCTTGTTGATATTGATTTATGGCCGTAGTTGCCTTTGATTTTGTTGTGGGTTTTCTTAAAGTTGAAAAGAAATTTTGTTTTGTTTCACGAGGTATTATTTGCCATTATTTGTGTAATTAAATGGTGACCTACTACTTGATTCATTTCCATTGTAATTTTATTTTATTATATTATGAAACATTTTACCATGCCATTTATTATTATTTTTCAGTAGGGCCTGACCTGACCTCGTCGCTACTCTACCGAGGTTAGGCTTGGCACTTACTGGGTACCACTGTGGTGTACTCATACTACGCTTATGCACATCATTTTGTGCAGATCCAGGTACACCTTATCAGACCAGGCATCAATAAACTAGCTGTACGAGGAGACTTCGAGGTATATCTGCCAGCGACCGCAGACTCTGGAGTCCCCTTTTATCTTACTATGTTGTCTTCCTTATTTGATTTAGACTCTGATGTATAGAGACATAGTGAATAAATTCTTAGAAGCTTGTGACTTATTTCTACCGGGTTTTGGGAGTTGAAATTGTTTGAATTGTAGTTTATTTATTTCAGATATTTATTATTATTCCGCATTGATAGGCTTACCTAGTCTTAGAGACTAGGTGCCATCACGACATCCTGCGGAGGGAATTTTGGGTCGTGACAAGTTGGTATCAGAGCTCTAGATTCATAGGTGTTATGAGTCACAAGCAGGTTTAGTAGAGTCTTGCGAATCAGTACGGAGACGTCTGTACTTATCTTCGAGAGGTTATGGAACTGTTAGGAAATATTCGCTTCTTTGATTCCTTATCGTGCGTAATTGTTGACTTCAAAATTTTAAACCATTGTCTTTCTATTCTCTCACAGATGGTGAGGACATGCACAACTGGATCCGATGATCAGACACCCACGCCCCTTGTTGGAGCCACAAGAGGCCGGGGTCGGGGCAGAGTCCAAACTAGAGGCCGAGGAAGACTACGTGGTGCAGCCAGAGCACCTGCACGAGCTGCTGCACTAGAGCCATCAGTAGCTCCAGTTGGAGAGCAGGCACTTGAGACGCCTGTTACTACTCTTGCACTTCAGGAGACTCTTGCCTAGTTTTTGAGCATGTTTGGTACTCTAGCTCAGGCAGGGTTAATTTCACTTGCTCCTACCACATCTCAGGCCGGGGGAGGAGCACAGACTCCCGCCGCCCGTACTCTAGAACCACGGGCCCAAGTTGACCATGCCCAAGAGGTTATACCAGTGCAGCCAGTTGTCCCAGTTCGGCCTGAGATTAGGACAACAGTTTTAGAGGGGGAGCAGCTCAGGCTCAAAAGGTACAAGAAGTACCACCCTACCACTTTCAGCGGCTTAGCTTCAGAGGATGCTCAGGATTTTCTGGAGGAATGTCACCGTATCCTTCGTACTATGGATATTGTGGATTCCAATAGGGTTTCTTTCACGGCATTCCAGTTTAGAGGAGCAGCCTACCAGTGGTGGCGGGTATATGAGTTGGATAGTCCCACTGAGGCATCTTCACTCACTTGGATTCAATTTTCAGATATGTTCTTAAGGGAGTATGTTCCTCAGAGTCTTAGAAATGTATGGCGCGCAGATCTTGAGCAGCTGCACCAGGGCTCTATGACCGTGTCAGAGTATGCGGTCTAATTCAGTGATTTGGTGAGGCATGCACCAGCCTTGGTTGCTACTGTTCGAGAGCGGGTTTGCAGATTTATTGAGGGTCTCCACCCTAATATCAGATACAGTATTGCCCGAGAGCTAGAGATAGACATCACATACCAACAGGTGGTGTCAATTGCTAGGATATTGGAAGGTATGAGGATCCGGGAGAGGGAAGAGAGGGAAGCTAAGAGACCCGGAGATTCTGGCACATATAATAATTCTCGTGCCCCAGTTGCAGCCCGTCATGGTAGAGGTTATGTGACTCATCCTATTCATTCAGCATTTCCAGCTTCCAGTGGTATTCCGGCTACTCCCAAACCTCAGGTTCCATATTATGCACCGCCAGTGTCTACTGTACCTCTTGTACGGGGTGCTTTCAGCGTGCAGTCTAGTCGATCAGGCCCGAGCCAGTCCCAGCAGCCAGGTCCTACGAGGGCTTGTTTTGAGTATGGTGACACTCGTCATATTATGAGAGATTGACCCAGATTTATGAGGGGTGCACCTCCACGGATTTCTCAAGCCCCACCTATTCCACAGGTCCCTCAGGCTTCTCAGGCCATGATTATTGCATCAGTTTCCACTCCACCTGCACAGCCAGCCAGAGGTGGAGGTCAGACAGGTAGAGGTCGCCCTAGAGGGGGAGGCCAGGCCAGATATTATGTTCTTCCTGCTAGGACAGAGGACGTTGCATTCGATTCTGTTATCACAGGTATTATTCCGGTCTGTCATAGAGATGCCTCAGTCTTATTTGATCCAGGCTCCACTTATCCTTATGTGTCATCTTATTTTGCCCCGTATTTGGGCGTATCACGTGAGTCCTTGAGTTCTTCTATTTATGTATCTACATCCGTGGGTGAATCTATTATTGTGGACCGTGTGTATCAGTCGTGTTTAATTATTATCAGTGGTTTTGATACCAGGACTGATTTATTATTGCTCAGTATGGTGGATTTCGATATTATTTTGGGCATGGACTGGTTGTTGCCCTATCATGCTATTCTTGATTGTTACACTAAGATGGTGACGTTGGCTATGCCAGGTCTACCGTGACTAGAGTGGAGAGGTACCTTGGATCATGTTCCTAGCAGGGTTATTTCATTTCTTAAAGCTCAACGAATGGTTGAGAAGTGGTGTGATGCGTATCTGGCCTATGTGAGAGATGCTAGTATTGATACTCCTTCTATGGAGTCAGTTCCTTTAGTAATGGATTTTTCTGATGTATTTCCAGCAGATCTTCCGGGTATACCACCTGACAGAGATATTGACTTTGGCATTGATTTAGTACCGGGTACTCGGCCCATTTCTATTCCACCATATCGTATGGCCCCAGCAGAGTTGAAAGAATTTAAAGAACAATTACATGAGTTGCTTGATAAGGGTTTTATTCGGCCTAGTGTATCACCTTGGGGTGCTCCTGTCTTATTTGTGAAGAAGAAGGATGATTCTATGCGGATGTGTATTGATTACCGCCAACTGAACAAGGCTACAGTGAAGAACATGTATCCATTGCCACGCATTGATGATCTATTTGTTCAGCTTCAGGGTGCCAAAGTATTCTCTAAGATCGACTTATGCTCAGGCTATCATCAGTTGAAGATTCGAGAACCAGATATCTCGAAGACTGCATTCAGGTCTCAGTACGGTGATTACGAGTTTCTTGTGATGTCTTTTGGGCTAACCAACGCCCCAGCAACATTTATGCACTTAATGAATAATGTATTTCAGCCCTATCTTGATTCTTTCGTCATTGTGTTTATTGACGATATTCTGGTGTATTCCCGGAGTTGGGAAGATCATGAACAACACCTGAGGACTGTGCTTCAGATTTTGAGAGAAAATAAGTTATATGCAAAATTTTCAAAGTGTGAATTCTGGCTTGATTCAGTGGGAGTTTTGGGTCATATAGTTTCGTGCGAGGGAATCAAGGTAGATCTGGAGAAGATTTAAGCAGTGCAGAGTTGGTCCAGACCGTTCTTCGTTACGGAAATCCGAAGTTTCCTTGGTTTGGCAGGGTATTATCGCCGATTTGTAAAGGGTTTCTCTTCTATTGCTGCATCTATGACCAAATTGACCTAGAAGGGTGCTCCGTTCAGGTGGACATAGGAATGTGAGGAAAGCTTCCAAAAGCTCAAGACAACTTTGACTACAACCCTAGTATTGGTATTACCTATAGGTTCAGGGGCTTATACTGTGTATTGTGATTCATCGCATATTGGTCTAGGCGTAGTGTTGATGCAAGACGGTAGGGTGATTGCCTACGAGTCTAGACAGTTAAAGGTGCATGAGAAGAATTATCCTGTACACGACCTTGAGTTAGCAACTATTGTTCATGCTTTGAAGATTTGGCAGCATTATTCATACGGTGTCCATTGCGAGGTCTACACTGATCACCGAAGCCTACATCATCTGTTTAAATAAAAGGATCTTAATTTGTGGCAGCGGAGGTGGTTGGAGTTGCTTAAGGATTATGATATCACCATTCTCCTGGGAAGGCCAATGTAGTGGTTGATGCCTTGAGTCGTAAGGCGGAAAGTTTGGGTAGCTTAGCATATTTACCGGTATCAGAGAGTCCTTTAACCTTGGACGTTCACGCCTTGGTCAACCAGTTTGTCAGATTGGATATTTCCGAGTCGAGTCGAGTTTTGGCTTGTGTGATTTCTCAGTCTTCTCTTTATGATCGTATCAGGGAGCGTCAATATGATAACCCCCATTTGTTTGTCCTTAAGGATACAGTTCAGCACGGTGATGCCAAGGAAGTCACTATTGGAGATGATAGTGTATTACAGATGGAGGGCAGGCTATGTGTACCCAATATAGATGGCTTTCGTGAGTTGATTCTCCAGGAGACTCACAGTTCACGGTACTCTATTCATCCGGGTGCTGTAAAGATGTATCAGGACTTGAAACATCACTAACTACTAGAAAATAATTTTATTGGAACGGTTATTGTGCAACGGTTTTGTAACTGTTACAATAGATCATATATTGGAACGGTTTTAACCGTCCCAATAGAGTCAAAAGGCTTTTGGGACACTTCTGAAGAATAAACGTTCCAATAGTATAATAACCGTTACCAAAAGTAAATATATGGAGACGGTTTGTAAAGGCGATGCGATAGAGTTACCTATGGGAATGGTTTGATAAAATAAAAGTATATTGGAACGGTTTACTTTTCCCCCTTTACTTTCCCTCCTACATATTTATTAAAAAAACAAAATAAATGACCCCACTAATATTTTAATAACTCTTTAATATAGAAATATTCCGTCACTCTCTCTAAACTCTCAAAACCTTGAAGACCGTCTCTCTCAGCCTCAACCTAGAACACATCACCATCGACGAACTCTGCCGGCCAGCTCCGGTGAAGGACGACAACTGTCGATGGATGACGACCAGTTTCGGCTAACATATGAGCAATCTCCGAGGTAGGCTAAACCTTGAAGACATCGGCTCTCTCAGCCTCAACCCAGAACACATCGACCTCACCATCGACGAACTCTGTCGGCCAGCTCCGATGTAGGATGACAACTGCCGGTGAATGACGACCAGTTTCGGCTAACATACGAGCAATCTCCGAGGTAGGCTATCGATTTTTCCCATGTTTGATGTTTGTATAACTATTCGATTTTCGCTTTTTTTTCCCCTTATGTTTTCTTTATCTGGTAATAGTTCTGATAAACACATTATTTTGCTTCTGCTTTGTTTATATTACATGATACATTTGTGATTTCTAGTTTGCAAAATTGGGGGATTTATTTGTTAGGTTTTGATTTTCTGTTTGAAACCATGAGATTTTCTTTATTCGATGTTTGCTATCGATGTTTGCTTTCTTGGTTATTCAATAACATTGTTTCGCTGCTCTTTTTTTGCTTTCTCTGGTAATATTTTGGGGGCTTTTTTCTTTCTCGAGTAATTTTTTCTTTCGCTGCTCCTATTTTTGCTGCTCCTTTTTCTTTCTCCGGTAATATTCAAAAAAATCATTTCGATGCCCCAATTTCTTTATTCGATGTTTGCTATCGATGTTCGATCTTCGCTGTTCGCTGTCTTGGTTATTCAGAAAAATTGTTTTGCTGCTCCTTTTTTCTTTCTCTGGTAATATTTTTTAAAAACACATTCTTTTACTTCTGGCCGATTATGCTTGTGCTGCTTTCACTTAAAATTGTGTGATTCGTTCATGTTTGAGCTTTTGTCTAACGGGTAATTGTTTGCCTTCACGTCTATTAGACATTGGGGTTATTCTTCTCAGACAAATTGCTTGCCTTTCTAAATTTTCTTGCTTGGTAAAAATGATGCTATCTAATCCTTAAAATCCATCTAATAAACTTTCGGAAGTAGAGATTTTTCGACTTATAGGTAGTTCGTCAATCATACTCTCATAGTTGTAATTAATAACTTAGTGCAAAAAACGAAAAGCTATAAGCATTTTGTGCAAGTTGTAAACTGTTGAGGTCTTTTCTTTTTAATTACGACCTAGGAAATTAACTTACCCATTTCCAATTACATATTTTGTCCAATTTTATGATGTTATTTGGTCACAGTATGTCCTAGAATAGTAGAACTTTCCTAGAACAGTGAATATCCAAACCTCTTTCTAACCTCAAGTCCTTAAACTATTATATGTACAGTAAACTTTTAAGCAAATAAAAGGGACTATGGATAGAAGACATGGAAACACCTCAATTACAAGCAAATGAGTAGACTGTTTCTAACATAATTGTTGCTTCATGTCATGTATTAGCATAATAATTGCATTATGGTGAAAATAAGTTCATCACATAGTGATCCTATGAATCTTTTGGAGAATAGAGCTCCTTTGGAGTAAAGCAGTGATGTTACAGTTAGAGATTAAGAATTAAATTATCCCATGTCCTTTATCTAAAAGAAACTTTTAAAGAGTTGAAGTTATCATGAATAAGTGTATTAGTATCTATATGAATACGAGTGTATAGAAGTACAACTTGTCCACCCAAAAAAGGAAAATATTATATAACTAAAAACAGAAAGAAAGATAAATCTAGAAGTTCAAGTGCTCAACTGAAAGGATGGTTACTAGAAAGTTGATTCATTTTGCAGTTTCAGGTTTGCTAAGTAGTATCTGAAGTAGTTTTAGATGCCTCATCTTATTTATGAAGACGATAATGTGCAGTAATTATTTGAAAACTGTGACATGTATTTGGAAAATGATGTGGTGATGTCCCTACTTGTCTTTGGTTGCCCCATTCCTCATGTCTTTCCTCCTCTCTTGGACATCATCAAACCTTTGCCTTCTTATTTTTTCTCATGGTGCTGCTCACAAATTAGCTACACAGAGAAAGAATATAGAGGTCGTTGAATCTGTTGGTGTAGCAGGAAAATCTGATCCCGATAGGAAAGTCAAGCACTTCACACTGGAGGTAAGTGTACTTTTTCCTTTCTCCCACAACATAGTATCTAGCTGCTTTCCTCAATGAGTGTTGAGTACAAAGGGCCAGTTAAATTTCCAAGCGGAACTGCAAATTGTGACATTGTAATCTCTATCAAAAGAAAGGTGGAGAGATGTGATGTATCTGAGCGTGTTAATAAATGGAATGCTATTTTGATGATATAGTATACTTCTGTTGATGTGTTGAAATGCTGCATAATGTGGTTGCGGCCGAGTGCACCACCATTCCTTCTGCTAGCCCTTCTCATCTCTGTCGTTTGCTCCCCCCCCCCCCCCAAATCCCCAAATATGGAAAATGAAGGGCCATATTTGTTCTGATCATGTTGCTTGTAATTTAGGCGTAGTAGTAGTTGTTGTAGGAGTTCTTCATCCTTAGTTTCTTGTCCTGTCTGATGAGTGTTTAGAATTCGGTCTCAATACATCTTCTAAACCAGATTCTGCTCATTTATTATAATTGGCATTTGTGACTTTATAATCATAAGGGTTATTAGATGTGCATGAGTGATAGTATATGGTATGGTATGTATATCGTTGTCTTAGAGTAAATATTCAGATCTTTCTTGTTCTCTCTCTCTCTCTCTCTCTCTCTCTCTCACACACACACACACACACACACACACAGAGAGAGACACACACACACACACACATATTGGATAGGCATGCATTAGGCAATAAGCTGGTTCCTTTTCTATGTTAAATGCTTAATTCTGGCAAATTTGTAGAAGAAACCAAAAAGGTAGAAAACCAGAACTAGAAGTAGTAACTCATACAACTTAGAGTCGTCGGTTTAATGCAGCTCAATTGATTTTCTTGCATCTTCATACCTGCTGTTTAAATTAGATATACCAGATGAATATAGGTACTTAGACATAAAACAGGATACTGGCAGTTTGCTGGGAAAGAGATTAAGGAATCATAAGTTTGCCATACATATTATTTTTCTATGCTTTGTACCTAAGATAATATCATATTAATTTGGAACCTAAAGAATAAACCCCTATATTTGCCTAGCAAAAAGCTTCGTGATATTATTAGGATTACCACTTTATGGACAAGGCTTTCTGAACTTGTAGATTATTTGTTGATCATTCAACCCAAAGATTTGTAGTTCTAAGAATACAGTTTCTAGTAGAGGGTAAAAAAGAAATGAACTTAACTACATCATCTTTCAGATGACACAAGACATATCAAGTTGTGCTTAAAAGTAAAGCTAACAGCAGAAGGTGCTTAAGCTATGTATATACACCTTTTTATATGTCAATTGTACATCTCCTTATGTATGGAGACATTAATCAATTTCTCATTTTGCTTTCATAAATATCAGAAATTATAATTTGTTGCAATAGAGAATATAACTGTTTCAATAGACCTAGCAAATAATAAAAGTAGCCCCTAATAGCCGTTACAATATGTTATAATATCTGTTGCAATATGGTACTGATAATTGTTCCAATATATCACAAAAACCGTTGCAATATGTCATGAAAACTGTTGCAATAGACTTAAAATATCGGATGTATTATTATAATAGAACGGTTTATAACCGTCCCAACAGAAAAGAAAACTATTCTTATAGATAGAACAATGGTAGTTGTCCAAACCGTTACAATATCCCTATATATGGAGACGATTTTTAAACCGTTGCAAATAATCGTTCCAATAGACCTATTGTAATGCTGAATCCCGGAACGCGTCCAAATCCGTCCCAATAGCCCTATAGGGACGGTTAGTGTATCTACTGCAATGGTTTTCGAAGGGTTGCCATAACTGTAATTTCTAGTAGTGACTATTGGTGGAGGCGGATGAAGAAAGACATAGTGCAGTATGTAGCTCGGTGTCTAAATTGTCAACATGTGAAATATGAGCATCAACGACTGGGTGGATTGCTTCAGAAGTTAGAGATTCTAGAATGAAAATGGGAGAGGATCACTATGGATTTCGTTGTTGGGATCCCACAGACTCAGAGGAAGTTTGATGCAGCTTAGGTGATTGTGGAAAGATTGACCAAGTGAGCTAATTTCATTCCTGTGGTTACTACTTACTCTTCGGAATAGCTGTCTCAGGTCTATGTTCGTGAGATTGTCAGAACCCATGGCGTACAGGTATTTATCATCTCTGACTGGGGTACGCAGTTTACATCATGGTTCTGGAGGGCAGTACAACATGGGTTGGGTACTTGGGTAGAGTTGAGTACAATATTTCACCCTCAGACGGACGAGCAGTCTAAACGCACTATTCAGATACTGGAGGATGTGCTTCGTGCGTGTGTGATAGATTTTGGGGGTGCTTGGAATCAGTTCTTACCACTTGTGGAGTTTGCATACAACAACAGTTACCAGTCAAGCATTCTGATGGCTCCGTATGAGGACTTGTATGGTAGGCGGTGCCGGTCCCCAGTGGGTTGGTTCGAACCGGGCGAGACTAGGCTATTGGGTACAGACTTGGTTCAGGATGCCTTGGAAAAGGTTCAGTTGATTCAGGATCGACTTCGTACAGCTCAATCTAGACAGAAGAGTTATGCAGATCGGAAGATTCGTGATGTTGAATTCATGGTTGGTGAGCGTGTATTGCTCCGGGTTTCGCCTATGAAGGGTGTGATGAGGTTCGGGAAGAAGGGCAAGTTGAGCCCTAGGTATATTGGGCCTTTTGAGATTCTTGAGAGAGTTGGAGAGGTGGCTTACAAACTTGCACTACCACCTAGNGTATTGCTCCGGGTTTCGCCTATGAAGGGTGTGATGAGGTTCGGGAAGAAGGGCAAGTTGAGCCCTAGGTATATTGGGCCTTTTGAGATTCTTGAGAGAGTTGGAGAGGTGGCTTACAAACTTGCACTACAATGCACTACAACCTAGTCTCTCTACGGTTCATTCGGTATTCCATGTTTCCATGCTTCGGAAATATCACGGCGATCCGTCTCATGTGTTAAACTTCAGTTCGGTTCAGTTGGACAAGGATCTATCTTATGTTGAGTAACCAGTGGCTATTTTGGATAGGCAGGTTCGAAAGCTGAGGTCAAAGAACATTGTTTACGTGAAGGTTCAGTGGAGGGGTCATCCGGTCGAAGAGGCAACTTGTGAGACCGAGCAGGATATACGCAGCATTTATCCACACTTATTGATAGCATCAAGGACAAGGATAGAGTTTTGGAAGCTCCAAGGCCATTTACAAGATCTCAAACTAAAGAGTTGCACTCTAAGGTTGCTGGACTTCAATGGCAAATAAAGAAGCTTTTAATTGTAGAGGAAGAGCTCAAACCCAAAGTAGATGAATTATTCAAGTTTTATAATTATTTGGTGATCCAAATTGAAGTCCAAGAGGAGGAGATTGGGCCACCAAATCAGCCCTTGAAGTCCACCAAAGGGGCTCAAAATGAGCTTAAAAGAGGTCCAAAAGGGGGTATTTCAAAGGGAGCCCAATTGGAGTCCAAATCAATGGCCCAAACTAGTAGTTTTAAGGTCCAAATCTGCCCCAAAGGGATTTGGCCGCCCCCCACCTAATTGTAATGACTTTTCTTACTCCTTAGCAATCACCCTACCTAATTGTAATGACTTTTTATGCCTTAGCAACCACCCTACCAAATTTTAAGGACTTTTTGTGCCTTAGTACTCCTATAAATAAGGAGTTCTTCTCATTCATTGAGACGCTTCATTATTGATTAAGTATATCATACTTTGAGAGTTCTTTTGAACCTTTGTTACTTGTGGTTTGAGATTTATCTTTCAACCTTTACTAGTTCATAGTTCAATGTAGTAAGATTACTTTTCTAGTGTGATATATTTGATTTCTTTGTGGTATTCTTAGAAGGCGATTAATACTAGTTATTAATTGTTGTCTCAAGTTACTCGTAAAGCGGTCAAGATCCGAATCTATTGTTTTGATTTTCTTTTAAGTAAAGGCGTTTGATTTCTTCAATAAATCAAGACGTTGTTGCTTTGATCTTGTCAAGGCTATATAACTTGCGTTCTTGGAAGTTCTTGGAATTCTTTCCTTGAATTTTTCCATATCCTTTATTTTCTGCCCTTTAGTTCTAGTTGTTCAATTCCTTATTGTTATTGCTTCCGCATTTACTTTTCAAATTCTTACTCTAGTTTGGATTCACCGACCTTGTCGTTATCACTTATTCACCAGCTCAGGTACTTTTTCTAACTCCGTTTGAGGACGAACATTTATTTTAGAGGTGGAGAATGTGATGACCCAAAATATCACCTTTAAAGTTAATAATTAATTATATATTCTAAGACCTCGAAAAGTACTATTTATCATTACTCGACTTGCGTGTGCAGTCCGTAAAAATTTTCGGAAAGTTTTTATTTGAGAAAAAATGGATAAAAAGGTGAATTAGAGCTTTAAAACTCAACTGAGTTGACTTTGGTTAACATTTTTAGCAAACGGACTCGGATCAGTTTTTTAATGGTTTATGTAGGTCCGTATCGTGATTTGAGACTTGGGCATATACCCATAATCAAATTTCGAGGTCCCTAGCCCGAGAGATGGAATTTTAATGAAAACTTAAAAGTTTAAGTTCAAATAGTGACCGGATGTCGAATTATGTGCAAACGATCCCGGAATAGAATTTTGATGATTCCAACAGCTCCGTATGGTGATTTTTGGACTTAAGAGCGTGATCGGAATTTTATTTGGAAGTCCGTAGTGAAATTAGGCTTGAAATGGCTAAAATAGAAATTTAAAGTTTAGAAGTTTGACTGGGGAGTTGACTTTTTGATATCGGGGTAGGAATCTAGTTCCAAAATTTTTTATAGCTCCGTTATGTCATTTATGACTTGTGTGCAAAATTTGAGGTCAATCGGACTTGATTTAATAGGTTTCGACATCGAATGTAGAAGTTGGAAATTATAAGTTTCATTAAGCTTGAATTGGAGAATGATTCGTGATTTTAGCGTTGTTTGATGTGATTTGAGGTTTCAAATAAGTTCGTATGATGTTTTAGGACTTGTTTTATATTTAGTTGAGGTCCCGAGGGCCTCGGGTGAGTTTCGGATGGTTAACGGATCAAAAATGGGACTTAAACAACTGCTGCAAAGTTTCTTCTGCTGAGCAATCGAGCCCAGAAGTCGAGGGCCATGATAGAAGGCAAGCTCGAAGGCCACTGATCGAAGGCTCAGGATCGATACCATGATCGAAGGCCCAGGCTCGATGCCATGACC